TTAGCACTTAGCTGTTTTTTCTGTAATATTAAGAAACGTCTTCAAAAGAACAAGGCATTTCATTAGTGATCAGTGGCATTTTCTACATCCATGAACAAAAACTGGCATTACAGCTCAAACCCTCCAGATCAGAATTTCAGGCGAGAGGAACTCCCCGCATACTTCTGGATGTCTCATTTGTCGGGGGAGGGCTGACGCATGGCCTTTGACTAATTGCACAGAGGAATCCAGCTGCCTCCAGAAAAACTCACTGAGGCACAACTTCTCCTATTTCCCTTCCTCCACACCAAGAAATAGCTGAAAACTCAAATAGTTTGCTAAAACCCTTCCCCGGTGGACACCATCCAATTTTCAATTTCCAAGACCTCAAAAATATGTGGTCAGGAAGGAACACAGATCAATGCCAGCGGTGCTAACATAACGCAAAGGCAACCCGAATCAAGACATGAAGGAATTTGCTCGAATGGCTGCTTGTATTCTTTCACACAATCAAGAGGTGGAGGCAAAAGAAAAGAAAAATTACTCATTTTGTGATTCCGCTTCTCCGAGCCCTTTGACCCTCTTGGCTGTGGGGTTCCAGCTCTACACACGGAGCCAAAATGGCTTTAAGGGTTTCTACTTCCTAGGTATGACAAAGGCTGGGCTTTGGGACAGCTTCAGCCAAGTGGCTTAGCTGAGCCAGGAAAGGAAAAAATTCCCTTCAAAGCTACTTATGGCGGCTCCTAGATTCCTCCTCCTTCGTCTCCTGTAGGATTGCTTTTTTTTTTGAATGAGAAATATTGAAGGCCACTAGAGATGGTTGTGCCAGGGAATGGAGCAGGTGGTGTCAGAGGAGTCCTTCTGGCTGGTGACACGAGCAGCCCCTGGCTGGCTGCTGCCGAGCAGAGGACGAGTGTCATTTCCCTTGCGGGAAAGCTCAACTGCGTTCACCAAAGACCGCGAGCCACTTGGGAGCTGAAGTCCACCGCAGAGCAGACAGGATTTCCAGCTCAGGAGAACAATTACCATCAGGATGTGGTTTTTAAGGTCACAAGTTTGTAAGAAGCGCCAGTGGCTCAGCCTGGAAGCAGCGATCTCCACGCCAGAGAGTCCCCAGAGAGCCCTTTGCAAGCTTCCAGAGTCAAATGGTGCAGCTTTGAGAGATGGACAGAGGAGCTGGACCACTCCTGCACGAAGGACGCTCTGCTTTCTTTGGAGCACCGTTGCCATGCAGAATGCCTCTCGCATCCTTTGACACATGGAAGAGGGGTCAGCCTGCAGGATGGCCGGGGTGGTGCTCCCATGGCTTGCAGAGCTTGTTCTGTGGAAGCAAAGCAGCAGAGCTGGGCACACACTGGCCAACACCAACAGTGATCTGGGCATGGCTTCTAGGCAACATCCTGAAACGGTCTCATGAGGCAGGACAGTGACGTACAGGGATGGTTCAACCCATGTCAGAACAGTTTCTTTAATGATATCTAATAAAGGAAGGGACAAAGCTGCACCTCCACCCTGGGCCACCAGATGAGAACAAGAGGGCAGCAGTGACCCAGCATCTAGCTCCCAGTATCAGCAGTCTCAGCTGGATGGAAGAGATGGAGAAGGACCAGAAAGGCAGGTGAGATGCTTCCAGGACACACACACTGACCCTTGACATAGGCAGCAGACACCGAGCAGCACTTCCCAGCAAGCTGGAGCTGTACAGTGGCATTCTCCACCCCATTAGGGATGCCACCCAGCAGGGCAGGCTTGGCTGTGAGTCAGCCAGCAGCTCGCAGGGCAGGGCCATGCTGTACAGGAGCAGCCTTCACGCTGCACTCCCCTCTCCGTGTCGTCGTCTTCTTCACCTCCCTCTCCCTCTGTGGTTTCGGTGCTATGTTTTTCTGGTACGTCTGCAAGCACGCGTATGCGGAGACTTGCCCATTCCTCCCCAAAAAGCCCCCTGAGCCATGGGATTGACGTCAGCAGCACGCCAGCTGTCAAACAATGGAGATTAAGGCTTGGCAGGCTGTGCAAAACCATGCAAGTGCCTGTGCCTCCCCAGGCAGGTGAGCAACATTCCCCTCTGAGCAGGAACAGGCACATTGCAGCAACCGGGCCGCCTGCACCTGGACACAAGACCTAACCTGATCCTCAGCACCGGCCAAGTCATGCCCAGGGGCAGACGGTGGGGCCCTGCGGTCCCCTGCACGCACATCCCAGGGACTGGGGCTCCACGTGGTGAGGACACCAAGGCCTCCCGCAATGGCTGCTAGTGGCAGAGCAGAGCTCTGGTGCTGGCTGAGTGCAGCCCCAGCCCACGCGAGGCCAGCCTGCGTGCTCAGAGGTGTATGGTGCTGAGAACAAGTCCAGGGCACCATGATTCTCTATTCTCAGGGCAGGGACAGAGGCAATGACATGTTACCTTTTGCAGAAGCATGGCACAGCTTTTCAGCCCTTGGGGTCTGCAGCAGGGCTTCTCCCTGGGCAGAGAAGACTGGAGAACATGGTGTCCTGTGTCGTTTGGTGTTTGGGGGAGAAGCGTGCAGAGCAGATGGGCTGGTGCCAGCTCTGTGAGGCAGCTGGGGCCTTGAAACCATCTTTAACATGCAGGTGGCCCAGCACTGGAGCAGGCTGTGCAGAGAGTCTGTGCACCTCCTCCTTGGGGATCTTCAAAGCTTCTGGACACAGCACAGGAGAGCCTGCTCCGGGTGGCATTGCTGGAGAACAGGTGGGGCCAGAGGTGCCTCCAACCTCAGTCATTCTGTGAGTTCATGAAAATGAGGTGGCAGCTGCTCCTGGTCATCATGCAGAGCGGGACCACAGGATGGGCAAGCACATGAAGCTTCCCATTCCTTCTCATTCCTCCCTGCTGCCAGGGCCTCTTTTTTCCCCAATAACGAAGCAGCAAAGCCAAAGAAGCAGCCGTAACCCAGTACAGCCTCTGCTAACTCTTCCCCTCACCATAGCCAGGTGCATCCAGCTCCCAGGCTGGGTTTGACATGCTCTTACCCAGAGCTGGCCATCCTCTGTCACATGGGCATGCAGCAATAGCCCCAGAACCAAAGCTGAACCCAAAATGAGAGCAGAGCACCACTGTTTCTCTTGACCTTAACTCCTACCCAAACAAGCAAACACACAAGGGCACCTGAGGTCATGGAAGAAACATGATCCACTACGCCCAGATATAAAACAGAAGGATTTGACAGCTCCAACATAAACTACAAGTCCTGCTGGGCTCATGCCCTGCCGAATAGGGAAGATCTTTCAGCATCAGCTATCTGCTGAATAGCAGGGATGTCCGCAGGAAAGCACCTGGCTCCTCAGAGACAAACACCCAGCCAGGAGCAAGGGCCCTTCCCAGGCTCACTCTGCCCAACCCCAGAGATCAGAATGGCCTTGGAGATACCAGGTCCTGGTCGTGTCTGCCGAGCCCCACACTACAGCCCAGCCAAGGTGGGCTTCAGAAGTCCAAGCTGCCCAGGGACAGCAGGCTGGAAGGGCAGCAGCTGCCCACAGGTTTCATCGACTCCTACACCCTGAGACCAGTCCACAATCCAACGGGATTTGCAAGCCCCCAACCCAGCTCTCAGCAGCCAAACCTCCTGGCACACATTGCTCTCACCCAACCTTATCGCAGGGCCAGGCCCAACACAGCTGGATGGGAGGGGAGCAGATGGCCCGATCGAGTCCTTCTCATTTGTTCTCCCTCAAGATACTTTCAAAGGAAAACTCTTGAGGTCATTTGTTCTATTTTCAACAAGCAGGAGTATCCAGCACGACATGCATTCACAGGGCTGTGCTGGAGGCAACCACTCAAGGAGAAAGATCTGACCAGTGGTGCACAGATGGAACAAGTCAGCTAAACGTCCCAATAGTGACAGCTCACCTGCTGAAGCACAGTGATGGCAGTTTCAATTTCACCTATGGTTTTGCACTCAAGATGCCCCCAAACCAGGCTGAAAAGTTCCTGATGGCATTTGCTAAGGCAACCAAGTTGAAGTAGTCAGACTGACTCCCAGTTTTTTGCTCCTCTTGCATCAAGATGCTTCCTAGAATGGGCCACCAGGGCCACCACCACCACATCCAAGAGGTGTCCCAACAGCAGGAGGATGAAGCTGGTAGCACAGCCATAGCTGCTAGCTCCTCCTGTAGTAACAGAGATGGTGTAAAGAAGCACCATACATCTCCTAAGGTGCTTGTTTACCAACTACAGGAGCAGGGAATAGAAACAGGGAATAGGGACACCATGAATAGAGGTATGGCAGTATGTACAGCTTCCAGGGTGGACCAGAAGAAGTGGGGAAATTCAATGGGGCCATCAGTAAGGGTCCAAGAACAGAGTGGTACTGGACAAAACGTGGTGGTACCAGCAGGCCAGGACACCTCTAGCTCAGGGAACAGCAGCTGCCACAGGAACCCTGCATGAGATATTTCTAAGGAAAAAGCTGCAGTGCACACATGCTGACCCATCATCAAGGCAAAGCAGCAAGTAGAACCAGCACTGTACCTGCAGAGCCCCATGCCAAGCCCAGCTCTGCCCTCCCAGCTGGGCTCTGGGCATCGTGACATCCTCAGCAGCCCAGGAGACCTCCTGCTTCCCCCACCTGTCCCTGGCTGCAGCCATCTGTGTGCAGTGACTGCAGGGAGGAACGGGGCGAGCCATCCCAGCAGTCTCATCCTGTGCTTTGGCAAACACAACGGCTCCATTCCAGTGCTGCCAGCTTGGAGTGTGATATAGGCAGGTAGCAGATGGCCACCGAAAGCCCGATGCCATGTCAGCTGCTCCCCAGACCTCTACGTGCCCTCTGGGCTGTGGTTTCACCCATTCCCCAGCTCTGCACTTCCCACGCAGGTTTCCATCCTGTAAAGACAGACTGACAAAAAAAAAAAAGTTTGTTGATCCACTTTTCCTCCATCCCTCCCCTAAGGCTGCAGTTTGCCTGCTGGCCCCATTAGATGGACCAGCTCCTGCCCTTGCTCCTATCACCTCCTCCTCCCTCGAAGAACCCAAACCTTTGCTGTGTTCTCTGTCCTTCAAGTGCGCAGCTTTCCTGGAAAGAGCTCAGACAAAAGCAACACCAATCTCAGCCAGCAAAACAAATCAGCATTTCCCCTGAACGGCGTGGATGAGGATGAAGAAAAGAGGAAGGAATGGAGTTTGTTTTCACGTGCCCTGGTGTTGTGCAACAGTCCAACGTCCTCTGGGCAATTGTAAAAACCCCACGCGCCCCACGCTGCTGAGCTCACGCTGGCCTTATCTCAGTCAGCAAATAAAACAAAATAGTCACCCGACAATTTAACTGGGAGGACTTTCTGCGGCTCTGCCTTATCTCTGCACGCAGAGTGAAACCATCCTGCTGACGTGAGCCCCGTCTTCTGCGAGGGAGCTGGGACGCAGCGTCCGATGCGTGGTACAGACCTGCCTGGGACCACGCTGTAGTGACGCACAGGGGAGGCCTCCCCAGCCCAGGTTTGCCACGTGGTTGATAATTACCAGCTCTGCCTGACCATCCTTCGGGTCGCAGGGCTGCAGCATCCCTCTGCCAGCAGTGAGCCAAGTTGATGACAGCAGTAGAGCTCACCGTTTGGGTGCCTTCATCCTGCAAGCCCTCCTCACCCACATACCAGCTGCCTCATGCTTTGTGTGTTCAGGGCACACGGCACCATCCCTTACCGTAAGCATGACAGCTCCTATCTCTCTGTTTACACAAAGGGCATGAAGCAAGTAGACATCCCTGTGGGCCCACCAAGACCTTGGTGGACGGACCAGAACACAGTCCCAAGGAGCACAAGGACATAAGCAAGTCTGCATGCGTGACCCTCCATCAGAGGGCAAAGAGCTGGGTGGTGACTTGAAACGTTCTGGGAATCAAAAACGTGCCCACACAAGCAAAAAAGTGTTTGCTTCTTGTTTGTCAGCTCTGTGTGATTCAACTAGACTTGATCTCGAAGGTCTTCCAGCTGAGATGAACCCATGAGTTGTAAAGGAGCTTACCATGAAGATATGCTCTGGTAACGCCAGGGTGACGGTGGGGGGCTGCCCAGGTCCACATGGTCCCTGAGGAGATCGCAGCCTGCATCCCTCCACCAGCCAGCAGGGTGTTCGGTGTGCCTGAGGCCACGTGCAGCTCCTTGCTGTGCTGCCAAGGTCCCTGAGGCCCCCCAAGGACACAGCCCCAGGACAAGCACCCTGCTGCAGGCATGGAGGCCCAGCAACGCTCCCTGGGCAGCATAGGGGCTGCTGGGGGGTTCTGCAGCCAAATGGAGCGAAGTGCGGGGACAGAGACAGAATGAAAACTTGAGGTTGGGAAATCAAAATGCTCGAGATAAATTAAAAAAGATATATATATAAGCAATTAATCAACACTTAAAACCCACTTCCTCCCCCAAATGGTTTCGAAAGATACAGTATTTTTGCAGCCGAGCTCTGAGCAGCAACAATTTCCTGATTTCCTGTGCTCAAGCCGTCCAGGAGACCTGGGCACTGCTGGAGGATTTATGTCTTACCGGTATTTGCTCCTTGCACAACTGAAAAACAGCCCTCCGAAAGAAGAGGAACGATCCTGTTTGTCGTTGGTTTCTCTATACGCAGCACATGAAGTGGATGTAGAAGTGAGATGTCTCCAGTGCCCAGCATGGCTGTGCGCTGCCCCCAGGGATGCTCACAGCTGGGTTCCTGCCCACCCACCCGCTGCTCCCAACTCACTCCCTACTGAGGTGAACCGGTCCAGGGCCAGAACCTTGGGGGTTCTTGGGTAAGGTTCACATCCTGAAGCGATTACAGACACAGATGAGGTGTTTTAAGAAAGAGAATGAAGAGAAATGCTAACACGCATCATTCCTGGAGGTGTTGCAGAGATGCGGCGCTGAGGGACCCCATCAGTGGGCATGGTGGGATGGGCTGGGGTTGGACATAATGACTTCAGGGGTCTTTTCCTACACTAACAGTCAGTCAGTTTGGCAATGGCAAAGCAAAAGGGGGAACGTTTGTGCTCCGTGGAGCTAGAGGAAGGCACGAGCCTTGTGCCAATTCATCTCAGATGAACTTTGCCAGAACACAGGAACAAGATAAAAAGAAGTGGCAGCACTTGAACTCCCTGGGACTACAGAGCATCTCATCAAGGGCTGCAGAAAGGAAATGTAGCTGTGGGAGGGAAGGCGGCTTGATACACTCTCCCACCCACCTCTGCTTCCTATGGCTCCAAATCTGCCCCCTGGGACTCAGCCTCTATTGAGCAGAGACGCTGAGAAATAAGATATTATCCACTAAAAGCTAAATACGAACGTTCAAGCAGAGATTTAAGGATAATAGCACAAGATTTCTGCAGTGGTCACTGCCCTAGGACAGGAGCCAGGAGAATCTGATGGAAGAATCTGTCCTGTAGCCAGCTGCACAGTCTGGTACCACAGTAGGAAGGAATATGTGCAAAAAAAATGTTGTAATTAATTTTTTTTTTTTCCTTAAAGCTCATAGATTTCAAGATTAGAGAAACACACCCAGAATGGTTTTTAACTATCCAAAGGAACAAAGGAGGTTTGCAAGTGATGTATTTTTATGAAGACTCAGACAATATCCACAAGTCCCTTCTTGTAATAAAACTTGGAGCTTTGCATGAACAGCTATGGTCATTAAGTTCTCTTTTTATTGTTATTAAAGTGTTTTTAACTTGTTTGGGAGTCATGCTTAAGCTCCCACTGTGGATAATTGTCGATGATGAGATGCTGCTCATTAGGCGAGCGTTGCACAAGAAGGGCAGTCCTAACACAGCCACGCAGACAGGCAATAACACAGCATTTTCATTTGCCACTGATGTGGAACAGATTCAGTGCACTTCCAACACCCAGAAACACCAGATCAGATCAGCAGGAAACCCAGTGTCAGGTTAGGAACAGAGAAGATATAATGGCATTTCTTTCTTTTCTTTCTACTACCGGGTAAATCAATAGCCTGTCCATGGTGGGGTCAGCATCCCTGGAGGTGCTCAGAGCCGTGGAGATGTGGCACTGAGGGAGGTGTTTAGTGGGCATGGGGGGGGGGGCTGGGATTGAACCCGGGGATCTTAGGGGTCTTTTCCTACCTCATTGAGTCTATGAGTCCTCAGGTATCTTGCCAGCGCTGTATGATTTGCTGGCTAAAAGTAATAAAAGGAAGATAGCTCCTGAGGTGAGCTGGGAGCCACCGGAAGGGCAGAGGACATGCAGTCCCAACAGCACTGCTGCTGGACTGAAACATGCAGCAGGTGCATCAAACAGCTCCAGAGCTGGCCCTCACATAAACAGGCAAACTTTGAAGATCCATGACGTTAACGCGAGGGCAGTTTGTTCTGACCCAGCCAAAATCCTCTTACTTCCAGGAAAGAAGCTGCTCCCAAGTATTCCAGTTGTTCTCCTTTCTGTTTCCTTTCCAGTTCTCCTTTCTGGCTAAGGATTTTTTACATTTGCAATGAAGAGCCAAAGCACAAGCTATGAGCGTGGTCAGACGTCGTGCAAAAGTTGGCACCAAGCAATGAGATTGGGTAAGGGCCGACTCCAACCTGAGCTGCTCAAGGAGCAGGAGCACACATAACGCAAGGTTCCCTGAGGCACAAGAACTCCCTACAGAAACACAACACGATTTTACGTCAGAGCCACTCGTTTTTCTCCAAATAGTGGAGCTGGAACTCATAGCTTCTTCCCAGAACTCACATTCTCTGCTATATCCCAACACGGACACTGCCAAAACAAAGCCTTCACAGATAGGGCTGAGACATCCCAACTTAAAATAACATGGGAAGAGAAGGTGACTGACCTCAAGTGGCCTTTGGTTTAACTTCATCCCACGATGAGGGCTGCCTGACAGTGACCATGTTTGGACCCTAAAACATCCCATCCCTGCCAGGAATCCCTCTTCGCACGCTTATTTCCCCTATGCTGTTACCAACTCGCTGGCAATACTGCAACACAGGCAGCAGCTTGTCCATCAGCTGCACTCTGTTCTTACTCAAAATCCTCCTCTTCAAAGCTAAACAGTTTTAAACACAAGCAGAAGCAGAACTGACTCTACTGAACCTACCCAAGACCCTTCCTCCGGCCCTACAGAGCAGGTGGCACCAGTCTGTGCATGATGAAGAGCAAAAGCACATTTTGCAAGAGCCAGGCAGACAAATGGGCTGCTGCACAGTTGCAGCACAGTTTGCTCACTGGTACAAAGCAGCTTTTCAGCTTACAAATGGCTCTTCAGCAATTTTATGGCTGGCCCTACGCACTGCTCAAGATAAGCAGAACTGTTTTTCTGTCCTCATGCAGGGTCCTGCTGAGCTGTTTCATGGAAACAGCTGCTTATGCATTAACAAAAACCTGTGGACAGTGTCATGCCACAACATTTGCCCAATACAGAAGATCGAAGTCTCTTGTCGGATCAACATTCCTGTCACCACCTGCTATTTGCCTATCTCACTGCTTCTGCTGCATTTATCTTCCTTCTCATACACCCATCAAATCAATATTCGCATTTACAGTCAGGTTTCTGCCTCCCCTCCTCCAAGACTTCTAACACTTGTGCAAGGACAAGTTCAGTCAGTCCACTTCCCTGTTTTTTCAAGCCCTGTCTCAGTCAAACACTATTATTCAGTTGCTTTACAGCATCTCCTAGGAAGGTGTTGCCAGCTACTGTGCCATCTGCATCACTGAGGACAGAAAATTTGTTTGTTTTCCTTCTAGAGCATGAATCATCCCCCACTTTGCTTTCTCATATCTGTGGGTTTCTCTTAGCTCAAAACCAAGAGCTGAAGGACAGCTTTACTTTAAGTCTCAGCACCTCAGCTCCCTTTTGGTTTAGGGGAAGGGCATCTCTGGAACCAACCTGCTACCTGGAAGGCAGAGGTACGGGTAAAGGGTTCAGACCATCACCAAGCGCTCACGGCAGTGACAGCAGCACAAGACCTAGGGTGTATGGACAGGGGTGTGAGGTGGAGGTGGACAGTGCAGCAGGCAGGGCAGCCCCAAGGAATCAAGCAAACTCAAAGGCAGCTATTAGACAATACGCCTGCACAGGGGATTGCATGTCAAGCACACACAGAAGAGATTCCTACTTGCTTTCACCCAAACCTCACTGCAAAAATGTAGTCAGCACCCAGACCTCCAGCTTCCAGCCTTCCCTGAGCTTGTTTCAGAGGAAGAAGCTGGACTACTGTACTGCAGTCTCTGCCTCATCTTTAATCCCTACCCATCATCCTTGGTGATCAGCTTTTGTTGAGCAAGCAAACCCAGGATCTGCACAAAACTTGGTTGGAAAAAGAAAAAAAAAGCAACCCATCACCACTGCTGACATGAACAAAAACACACCTCTCAAAATCCACTCCAGAATAAAAACGTTGAAAATACCTTTTTTTTTTCTGGCAGTTGTTGGACAGCCCTCCAAGGGCAGCACCATGCACACGACCCAGGTCTCTCACCATGCAATGTTCCTCTTGTTCTTCAGGATCACAGCATGCCCCTGTCCCAAGGGGCTGCCAAAATCAACAGCTTTCACTGTACCTTAAAGAAGGGATCTGAGGTGCAAGGGGAACTGAGATAAACAGCACTGATGGCCTCCCCCCACTTGCTAAGCAGACAGGACGGAGCCTGGAACAGCTCAGCTCAAATGCAGCCTGTAGAAGAAGCATCACCAAGCATGGAGGCCACAAGGTGTGCTCCTTTTGGTCCAAGCCCATTTAATTGCCATCTGCAAGGTGGTATCTTGTTTGAGCATGAGGAAAATGTGGAGGCTGAGGCTACAGATGAGCCTTCTCAGCTAAAAAGGAGGCTGGGGGGCAGGAGAGGAGAGGAGAGGGTTACTTAATGCACCCAGCTTCTCCTACCCCAGGAATGCATGGAAGCAAGATAGCTGAATCAGAAATACACTTGGGGTAGTTATGAGGTTTAACTTCACATTTTTCTTGGGTTTATCAGTGGAAAATGTTTTGGAGCTTTTATAAGCCTGACCAATTGCTTCAGCAGTCATGCAGCCCTAAAAAGGGTACTTGTTATCTGGAGCAAACTTGGAAAGAGACCTAGCTTAGAGTTAATGAGTTCAAGCTCATTTAGCTATGCGACTGGGGACAGCTTCTTTGCCATGAAAGGAAGAAGACAGAACTAACAGTGCTGCCATTTCCAGCTCAGATGGCTGAAACAAGAGCAAGCAAAAGAGCACCCGACTGGTGCAGCCCTGGTGGGACTGTATGCCACCAGCATAAGCCAGCATGTAAGAACACATACTGAGCTCTGCTAGGTCCTAAGCCTTGTATACTCAACATCAATCAGGCAAAAACTGACCAAAAAACCCACTATGTCTTACAATTAAACCTTGCCTTCTACGTCAGAGCTGCTGCACGGTAATACAAGCTCCTTCATTCCACCAGGCAATATTTAGTAAATGCTTAGCAGTGCTGGACACAAGATATTGCTTAATGGCAGGATACAGTTACAGGTCACGATAAGCAAGGTCCACTCCCTACAGGAACAAAGCTACAATACAGAAGACAGATGAGCCATCAGAAATGAAGTACATTCCCTCCACCCCCAGAACATACTCTCCCTGCAAGGCCATTTCATTCTGCTATTTGCATGGAGGCACGGCAGAGAAAAGACTTGCTCTCCACATCCTTACCAGGGAGGAGGAAGAAATTACCAACAGCATCACCACATGAAACACACAAATGGCTGGAGAAATGTCCTTATCTGGTTCTAACCACCTGGACATGCAAGCATATAGGAGTCTCACTCCCTTAACAGCCACACTGCAGATTCTTACTGCCAGATCACTCCTTATCAGATTCTCTGTGGTTCAGGTGAACTATTTGTACTAAACCTCAATAGCATCAGTTCCCACGTCAAGTGAGAGTTTTAATGTCAGCACATTATGGTATTTCTGTGTGGCATGACTTGCCTGCTTTAGTATTCCAGCATGCAAATTTACCTGCAAGGAGCACTGGTATAGATTGCTGCACTCATACCAATCTTTCTGTGGAGCTTTTCCAACTCCCCCTTTATAATCCTGCTTTTTTCCAGAACGATTCATATCTGTCTTCTGCTGCAAAAAAAAAAATCCACAAAACTCAGTGCCCTCACATAGATTCCACAGTCCCAGCAGTTTTTCTACTTTCTTCTGGAAAACACAAGCTGACTCAAGTCCTTTCCCATGCTTAGAGTACACCATGTACATCTTTTCCAGCAAAAGAGCTGAAAACCTATTCACAGATCCTAGCACAAAGGCTGACAGACAAACACTTTGGGGTGGAGTGCTGATGCCCAGTGCCAAATTCAAGAAGAAAATTAAATAAATTTCAATAAAACAAGGTCATATCTAGTAGAAACAAGTGGCAACACCTTCACACTGCTCTGTTTGTTTGCCATGTCAGCCTCACCCTTCCCTGAAAACCCAGGAACTGTTGTGGTGGGACCAGAGGACAACGTGAACATGAAGGCTGGCCAAGACAGGCAAGAAGAACGCTATGATCCTCTGAGGTCTCTCTTGGTTGAGCTGCATGAAAACACTGCTCATGGAGCAGCCATTCCCTTGGCATTGCTTTCCAGCTCTCTTTCATATCCCTTATGTATCATTTCCACACCTTTCAACCTGTTGCTGCTGACAAACTGAA